TTTGTTTTCAACGACTTTTCAACCCTAGCGCCATCTATGAGAAATCTAGGAAAGTATTTCGTCACCCAGTTAGGTAGCCTTTACAGCTACCAGCACTGGCTAGAGATGTCGCTATTAATTGTCATTAAATTTTTATTGTATGTAAGAATGTGGCACCACCATAATACTCAATTATTTTTTTTGTGAAATCTATTTTTATGTAATTTACAACAGTTTCTTTTTAACTAGACATTATAATACATTAGACAAACTAGCCACTGTGCCGTGCTAAGTGGAGTTAGGTGTTCGTGTTGAAGATTTCGGGTTCTGAGATTGGTTTACGATTTCAATCTTGTTGGAAACTGCAACACTCATCCGCAGATATTAGGTTAGTGAGGTAAGTTTGAACGTTATAATTCCTCCACCGAGAGAAAGTTAGCCCGACTGACGAGAACTTAACGTTGTTTAACTAAAAAGGTTCAAGTGTTCTTAGGCGGTATAGATGATATATGAGATTTTTCACTTTTAGTGTAAACAGAACTTGTGATCACACCACGTCACGCCACGAACCAGTGTGGTTACAATATCTAGCCTTGTCAGGTCGAATGAGTTTTTATTTGTATTGAACCTTTGTTAATTAAACAAAGTAATAAACGGTGGTAAAAGACGATATTCAATAAAGTCAAAATTGAATTTTGTCGGTACATTGTTGATAGTTATCCATGGAGAAGCAGTAGACGGCAACCACATAGAAAGTAATTGGAAATTACACTGTTAGGCTGCGGTTACACCAAAGATGTGCGGGGTAGCTAGGCGGTGAGCGAGGAAAAAATCTACCAATAGGATTACTTCATTTTCTTAACCTCGCTTAGCACAACTCTGGTGGAAACGGGCTAGCGAATTTCTGGTAGAAACGCAACCTAAACGCCGTAATCACTTTTCTGAGACGCATATAACAAAACAGAACTTTCATATTTTTTTCTGTGCGTAGGTTACGCTTTTGTGAACCAATTTTGATGATTCTTTTTATTGGACAGAGAGTACCTCTGTATTGGTCCCACTTAAATTTAAAGAAAATATTCCATCTGGAAGGGTGGCAAACTAGGGGATGTATCCGGTATCGCGCACTTTCCAAAACCGATTGTTAACTTTTTAGTTTCCATTTGTATGTATGTATAAACAAAGTTTGAAGTCGGTTTCTATTTTTTAATAATTATTAATATATGATATTTCATTGTACGGTACTTTTACATTAAAATTTAATAAATAAATAAACAAGTAAACTCATAACGTTCTAAGACTAACATTTTAGAAGCTTATCTGTTCCTCTATATACTCAACACTAGCTTTGAACATTAGCTGCGAATTATGAAGCACACGGTTTATTTACGGAATATCTAATTAGGTTAACGTAACACAAACCTAGGGTGGGAGTTACACGAGTACCCGTAGGCCCGTAGTTGGTTTTCTGAAATCCATAACGTCGGGGATAGTGCAAAAGGCGCGTATCTGCACCGACCCAATTTCACAGGAGAGAGATTTAACGTTATTAGTTTGTTATTTTAATGGCTAAGACTTTTCTTTTTGCGCAGAAAACATTAGTTTATGTCGTCTACGGACTGGTAACAATAAATTCCCGTAATTCACACTAATTTAGTTGTTATGGCATTTATGCGTATTTGATTTGGCCACTAAATTACCGAAATATAAACTCATAATCCAATGCTACTCGTAGTTCCGCGTTATTGAACTATCAGACGATACAGTGAAACGACGTAGTCTGTCCTATCATATTCTGATATTTATTTACAATATAATTATTTATGTCATTTAAAAAAATATAAGTGATAAAAAATTGGCGCGAATTTGTAGTTACGGTTCTTAAACGAATTGAGTTCTCAAGTATCCGTTAGCGGTGGCTCTATAGCCAATATTCAATAAACACCTAAATAATATAACAATGGAGTCTGAGCCCGTATTTGTCCGTTTGAATGATAATGAAGTTGTTATGATGACTATAACGTAAGTTTACTTAATAATTAACACTTCATATTAATACATAGGCACCTAAATTACAAGTTGGTTTTGGCATTTTCATAACGTGTGGTCATCTTGCATTATACATTTTCATACATATAATAAAAAACGAATATCTTTCTAATTAAATAATCAAAACGAAATCCGAAACGGCAGATATTTAGTAGTAAATTACTACTAAAACTTTACCAATTATAATCTCTGTTATACTTACAAATCCAAAGATATTGACGTTTGTTACTTTTCAGAAATTGGAGGATTGAGTGAGCACTTAAAAATAATTATTATTCAAAAACGTTTCGCGTTAGTGGCTTGTTTTATATTTTACAAATTCATATGTAACTTTTACTAAATCTAGATATAAACGAAATTTAATTAACTTATTTGGTTCTTAAGAAATCGTTCCTTTTAAAAACGTGCGGATTGAGTGAGCATAAGAAAGCAGTAATCGATCTGTAATTAAAAACGATAGTTTAACTAAACTTTTACTAAAAACTAGTGCAATAATATGTAAACTTAATACTTTTGTAGAACTGACTGGCCCTCTGTGAGAACTGAGTGAGCACACATTAAGTTATTTCGATCCCCGGGGACCGTGGACTTAATGTCAAAATTACGTCTTCACATATCATCTGAAACTCAAAATGCCTTGAGCCCCTATTCTCCTTATCTTTTTACAAATAGAAAGATTGGTTTCTACAATTGTTTTAGAACTTTTACTAAATGACTAACACATTTTAAACATTTTACAGAGGGTGCTCACTCAATCAAGATACACGTCAAATAAAGTATGAAAATTCATTACAGTCCTATTCTCTAAACTTTTAAATCTACCTACTAATAAAGAACTATGTAAGTAGGCAAAAGAAAAACTCGTGCAGCAAATTGCCCAGTGTTCATAATTGGGAGAAAAACCGCCTGTGCCGCTTACTTAAAAAAAGAGAAAATAGCGGTAACATTTACGGTCGTATTCCAGAGCTGTATTTAATGCTCAAGTCAGGACTTGAGTATGGTTTGAAGCACTGGAAATACGACCCTAATGGCAAGGGCTTGAGTATGATTTTTAGCGCTTTAAATCATACTCAAGTCCTGACTTGAGCACTTGGTACTGTTCTGGAATACGACCCTTACACTAAAATGTTTTGGTATTCTTTTGTTTTGTCGACTTTTTTATATTTTGGTCGCGAAAATGACTGCTAGTAAGAAGAGCAATAACGAAAATGCAAATTGATTAATTCAAACACATCGTCATTTCTTTTAGCAATTGTATTATATAAATTGTAATGTTAATATTTTTTTACTTTTTCTGTTATACATCTTCCTTTATTTAGTCTTTTTTTATTCCTTCGCTATGTTTGAGAAAAATTCTATACATGCCTCGGCGGGAACGGGGATTGTTTGATCCTACTAATACAAGGCCTCGCTGGCACTCGTCATTGTAACTCACACTCATCCGGCAATCCCTTACTTCCCGGCCTCTGCAATAATGTACTATAAGCTCATGGTCAATATTTGAATAATATTACAAGGAAAAAATCTTGTATTTCACATTAAAGAGGAATTACCTAATAGATATCCACGGCCATTTACTAATATAAACTACTTCCAGGCTACCGATCTGCGCCATCTGGATATAAGACGGTATTTTGACCTTTTTCGGAGTTATAATCTGCAGTATGGACATTAGCAGTCCTCTTGGGTTTATAGGTCCGTGATGCCGGCAAACAGTAATATGAGCATTACTTCGAAGGGTGCCGGTGAAATTACAGGCATATGGGACGGGCACGGTGGCGGTGCGTCTCGGTTCTTTGCGGGTTAGTATACGTGTGCCTTGTATTGGATATAAGCAACGGGAAACTACAAGCGAATAGTCTATTTTCATATGCGCTTGCGGCGACGTGTCGATTTCATATCAATTGTATGATACCAGAATATTTGCTTCTAGTTACCGGTTGCTTGTATCCAACATGAGACGCACGTTTGTTCGATAGTCACTTGGAATAATAAAAAAATATTGTTACTTTTCATCACGCTTGTACGTAAATATTTTGACTGCGTGCAGGCTAACTCGACTATAATGCCCCAAACAAAACCCTCGGGCCTTTTTTCTTCTCATTACACGACCATGACTGTAATGAGAATAAAAAAGGCCTGAGGGTTTTATTTTAAGTTATCCTGCATGCAAACATAGTATTTACTGTATTTATTTAAGCTGTTTATTAATCCTGTACACAAAAAAGGGGACAAACATAATATTGAGTATTATGGACCCATATCAAAACCATGTCTTTTTATAATATCAAGTGACGGGGCGAACAAGTCGTGCTCCTGATGGTAAGCTACGCGCCTGTCCATAACAGTTGCAGTGCCACGCAGTTTTAAATTGCAAAGATCTGAGGGGCACTGCCACTGAGTCACCTTAAGACATGCTGACATTACTGCTTGGCGGCAGAAATAGGTAATGTGGCAGTACTTCCCTGGAGGAACTCGTTCATAACGAGCTCTACTGCTGCTACTGTCTAATTGCTGAAATTTTTGAAAACTACGATACAATTTACGTGCAAGTGTGATGAAAAATATTGTTTCTTTCACGGGCGGTACGGGAATTACGAACCTCGATTCAGAAAGCCTTCAGTCTTTGACGTCGAGCTTCTTGTTAAATACTTTTCCTCAATTTGTTATAAGTTTAAACTAGGCTGAATGTACGTAAACCTATGCGAATGTTTAAGACCTTCTGTCAAAAATTTATCTGTAACCTTTGTGCCTTGCCTCCAAATAATTCCGCGTTAATTTTCAAGTTTTATTGTTTTTATTCCAAATTAGAAAAATAAATATGTAGCTACCTGCCCTCGACACTTAACACTTCTAATTCCTTATTCATTGCCCCTAATACGCAATGTACTATTACGGTAGACGCCATTACTATCCATGAACGGTTTACGTTTAAATCATAACATTATTATTTATTATTTCGGTTCTCTATTTTACATTCTCGCTTCTCCCGTGACCTAAAAGATAAATTTTGAATTTTAAATGGGGAAAGGCGGTATCCGGTAATGGCACAGTTGACCGGGATCAGGCAATTCAAAAACCGGCGAAATACATGCCGTATCTAACAATATAGCCTTCTGTATTAAAGCATTTAGCAAGCAAATGCACGGTATGGGTATATTTGTGTGTAGGATGTGTATTAACGTAATAGAGCATACAACTACATGGAATTTCAGGTAAAGGCATGCCAGTTACATTAATGTGTACATTGCCTCCTCGAGTAGAGATGAAATAAGGGCTATACATTCCTGGTACTCGTAACTCATCAGTGATACATTACTTATAAATATCAACTCTCGTTTGCACTGAAATATAGACAGCGCCACCAACTAGAGATGGGAAAAACTGCTTATTTTTTTTAACGTTATGCTTTTTATAAAAAAGCGTGCTTTTTAAACGCTTTTTAGGTTGAAGCTGACAAAATCGTTTAGAAAACGTTTAGGCGCATAGACTTTCACGTTAAAAAAGCTTGCAACGTTGTGTTGATAGCGAAAAGCAAAAGTAGACCACTAAAGGTTTTAAGATAAGTAAGTTTTTTTGTAAAAAACGAGTTGTATTTTTGTTTATGAAATAACATTTTTATATGGCGTTTAAAAGTATTCAAAAACATAACTTGTTTAACTTTGTAGTTGTTAACCGTTGAAATGGAAAAAAACTGCTTATTTCTTAACGTTAAAACGTACGTTTAAAAAGCGTGCTTGTAAAAGCGCTTTTCACACGCTTTTTAGTTTGACGTTAAAAAGTCGTTTAGAAAAACGTTTAAGAGCATAGACGAACGCTTACGCTTAAAATGAAATAATAATAATAACGCATATACTCAACATAGCCCCGAACACCGAACACTAGGGAAATCCTGTGTCGCCAGTGTCAAAATGAAAAGCGTGTTTTTGCGCCTATTTTAAAATTTTTCTTTAAAGTGCAGACTTTTTAAAGTGCTTTTCGTTTAAACGCCCTCTACCAACAACTGACTTGTGTGTCCGTCGTATATCCAACTACGTCTCCGTATATTCCAAAAATATTCTGTATTTATTTTAATAAAAGACTCTAACAATGGGTGCTAATGGTATGCTGTTCCATTCGGTGGTGCGGGAAAAACAGCAAAACATCGAATTACAAAACAAACGGAATCAAATTTCATCGGTAATTAAATATTAAACATGTAATTTTGCAAGTTTCGTCCATTATAACAAAACTCAAATTAACTGCTGCTAATTTGAAATGAAACAATTGATAACACCCGTCAATTGTTTCGAACTCGGGCTGGCCAATCGAAGCGCAGTTGTCACAGTAATGACATGGCAGAATAGTTTCGAAACAAATTAAATGACATTTCGTCTCTATTTCTGGTTATATATTCGATATTTGCCGCATCGAAAAGTAATTAATTTCATTTAACCCTTAGAGCTGTTACACATGCCGACTTTAGTAGTCGCTATTTGTCTACCTGTATACACGAGCGGGATTTATAGGCGATTGCATCGGTGCAATCGATACAAACTAATTATCGATGAAATGTGATTCCGTTTGTTTTGTAATTAGATGTTTCGCTGTTTTTTTCCACAGCACCGAATGGAACAGCCGTTCATAGTCAGAGATATAATCTTTATTACAATAAATACAAAATATTTTTGGCATATCACCGTCTTTCTTTTTTCTTGCAAACCGTTAGGTTTTTGGTAACACCATATTTAACTTTTTAAATTGCTAGTGTTTGCGTGATTCTTACGCGTTCCGAGTCTTCGGCCATATTGTGTTGTTCGTATGAATTCGTAAGCTACACGCCTGTCTATAACAGTTGAATTGTCTTTCAGAGCTTTAAACCGCAAAGATCTGAGGGGCACTGCCACTGCGCTCGACACCCTGAGACATAAGTTGACAAGTTCCATGTGCCAGTAATTTCACCAGAACCCTTACGCTTCAAAACCGGAACACAATAATGTTGACATTACTGCTTGGCGCCAGAAGTTGGTGACGTGGCAGTATTTCCCTGGACTAACTCTTTCGCAAGAAGCTCTACTGTTACTTAGGATGTTTAACTACGATGATATTCAATTATTTTTTGTGAAATTACTCCACGAGTGTGAAATAATTATTAAAACAACGATCGAATATAATGGAAAATTCGTTCGAACCGGCTGAATTCGAACCAGTACATATCGCGTCGACGCTCTCCCAACCAGCAGACCTTACAAATTTTCCTATGTGCTTATTATAGATCTTTTTTGCCGTCTGTGAGAAATATAAACACATCTGTGAGAGTAACTTCATATACTCACGTTGTCGAGCTCTAACGTGTTGTAGAAGTAAGGCAAATTGGTATGCGAGTTGTTGCCGGTTTTTTGCCAATGCACCACATAAGAAGTCGCGTTGGCGCCGTCCTGTGGCGCTGCCCAATCGAGGAATAGCTCGTGGTCTGCTGATAGGAGTGCGTGAAGCTGACGCGGTGGGCCAGGGAGGATGCCCGTACCTGATGGAGGAATAATAGTTTAATACAGATTTGTTGTAGCTAAATATCGATAGTTAGAACTTAAGTTTTTTTTTAATCAGATGTTATTATGTTTAATCCGGCAACCGGCTGCAATAAAACTTGGCAAATAGATGTAATTCCACTACCTTTTGAGGTCGGTCCGATATTGAATTTCGTACAGAAGACAAGTTAAAACTGCTACTTAGTACCTGCATTTGATAGTAAGTATTGCGCCCTCTATAAAAATATTTTATTTTTATTTTTTTTGTTTTATTTATCAAAATTTCATTGTTAATTCATTTTACATCACACTTGCTCGTAAACAGTGTTATATCATGAAGACAAAGTCGAACGTAATGTCCTACATTTCGCCCACTGTCTTTTTCATTACATTACCGTCTTATGGCAGGAACGGATTTATTTTTTAAGTTAATTACGCTGTACTTCTCTACGTTAAGATTAAACAAAAAGTTTCTAAGCTTGAAAAATCTGAATCTATTCCGCCTAAGCTTAAAGTATAGAAAAAAAATTGCAAAAAAAACATTTGCAATTGAATTATATGTTACTAAATTAATTTTATTAATTAAAATTCTGTATTTTTAGTATTATGAAATTATTTCTTTTATATCTACATACATATATACATCATGGGTTATGGCTGCATGCGTGTTTGCCTTTTCAACATTTTAGTTTGAGTTAGTTAATATTATCGAGGTCTTAGGTTTCAGCGATTGTTACACATAGGAAATGAAACAATTTTTCCGGATTTAAATCGCGTATATTTGTTTTTTCAAACAAACCATAACGACTGTACCTACCACCTCAGTCAACCGTAACCATGGGACCCGTAAAGGGCCCGAAACGTTGGTTTGTTCCTATTAGTATAAGTAAGTTAGTATTATCTATGGAAGAATAGCTGGCCATCTGTTTATAAAAAAAAACTTGCCATTTGCAAATCCGTAATTATTGTAGTGTTGTAAATAGATATCGTTGTGAAGAGATATTTATTTTTCCTGCATTTATCCTTGTATTTATTTCCTTGCAAATGTACATCGTACGTACATAACACGGTCGGTACGGGAATTACGAACTTCGACTCGGAAAGCCCTCAGTGTTCGACTTCGGGCTTCTAGTAGTGTCTTGTTCGCAATGAATACATATTGTACTATACAATCATATCTTTTATCTATGATTCACCATGGGTGCGATGTTTTTAAGCTGTGATCATAACCAACGTTATGTAGAAACCTAGATAACGTGGTAAACCACATTTCGTAGCACTATTTAAAACTGTTTTATAATTTCTTCTGAAAAATATCCTCAGACGCTAGCTAAACAATAACTGACCTTCCTCAAAGCATTGTACGATATTCCCAATGTAGGGCACGCAAGTGTTGACACCGCCTGAGTACGCGCCCGAGCACACGCCCCTACAGCTAGCAGGGACACCTCTTCTGGCACAGCATTCTTCGTGGTTTCGGCCTGAGAAAAAAAACAGAAAAGTGTATTTTTCACAAACGGATCTTGTGGGTTTTTTTTGGCGTTTTTCAGTTCCTACAAAGCTCAAACCATGTGAAGTCTTTCTTTATATTTTTTTTTGACGTCAAGCAACGACGTTACAAACAAGTCGTGCTTGATAGTAAGCGACACGCCTGTCCATAACAGTTGCAGAGCCACTCAGAGCTTTAAATCGAAAAGATCTGAGGAGCACTGGCCACTGCGCCCGTTACCCAGAGACATAAGATGACAAGCCCCTGGTGTCTGTATTTTTTTTAATTTGTTTTTATTTATTACATTCAAAGCACCAAAAAAACAAAACATTCTAGTATAACATAAACTTAACTAAGTTTTTCCGTACACGGTTCATTCGTCGTACAAATAAATTTCTACGTGTAGTGTGCGTTCGTACTGCTGCGTGTTGACATTCCTCTTAGTGTGCGTGAGAGTCGTTAATAAAGGGTGTCACTACACCTTGATCCTTGTATGTACATCCCACCGCTGAACACAAGTCAATTCTAATAAATGGTCGTGAACTGTACTTTAACAATGTATTTAAAGTTATTACCTATGTATGTTGTTAGTTAAAATTACAAGGTTATAATTATTATATATTTCAATCACGTATTAATTTTTTATTTTTTCTAAAAACTAATTTTTTAATTTAGGTTTGACGTTTTTACAATTTAACGATATTTTTATTTCTATAGGAATTTCGTTTATTAGATAAGGTATTATATATTTTCATTTATTTTTACCATAAGGATTTAGATAAGACGGTATCAATAATTTATTATTATAGACAATTCATGTTACTGTAAATTGTAAATGTTTTTTTTTGGTATACAAAAATCTTGTTTTTAAATAAGTAAACAGTTCTTACATTAGATCAGATATTCAAACATACAAACAAGTATGAAGAAATAATATCATAAGTAAACTTATGATAAATAAATATATGAATATCATGGTAGTAAAATCACCATGATATCAATAAAATAAATGTTATATAGTTCAGGCGCGCACCGCTAGATGGCATTTATCTTTGTGCAATTGTACTTATATAAATGTTATACATGTATAAAGTGTCTAATGAAATTGTGTCTTACCTCCAGCACCACATCTCAGCAGCTTATGGAACTCCTGCGCACAAAGCGGGGCGAGTGTTCGCAGATCAGACATCTTGGCATCGAAGGAACAGAGAGGCATGCAAACGCCCGCCAGTTGCACTCGTTCACAACACGCTGATACGTTGTAGGAGCTTGCTGCTTCTTCTTCCTCTTCTATCATCTGTATCATTGTAAATTGGTACAGATGATTACTGCTTATGATAATTTACCAAAAATACTATGATCTAAGAAACACCTTAAACTATTTAAAAACAATTAAACAACTTAATGACTTATAAAATGTAATAAGATAGTGTCCGATTTTTTAAATGATTAAATGATTTATTTTAACGTTCTTCTTTTAAAATTGTGAATGTTATAGGCCCATTGAAATAATCGATAATTCACAGGCATGCATATATTATTCTGAATTTGACCGATGAATTTTGATTTTGACAACGCGGAGAAGAGAATCAACAACGACAGAAAGTATTTCAGAAACAAATTGGTACTTTAAATAAATTTGCACAGGACATACACAAAGGGCAGTGGGATAAAATTAGAAGGAATTTGATGTTAACACGGCGGGGAATTTAAGGGGAACGGATTAAAATTATTATTGACATTTAGTTACCGCAGTCCTTGAAGAAAAAAGTGTTCGAGCAGTGAGTGTTGCCAGCAATGACCTTCGGCTCTGAGACGAGGTCACTTACTATGGGCCTAGTAAAAAATCTCGAAATCACTCAACGAGCTGTGGAGCGAGCAACGCTCGGTATTTTTCTACGTGATCGAATCAGAAATGAGGAGATCCGTAGAAGAACGAAAGTCACCGACATAGCTCGAAGGATTAGCAAGTTGAAGTGCAGTGGGCAGGGCACATAGCTCGCAGAACTGACGGCCGTTGGGGCAGAAAGGTTCTCGAATGGAGATCACGAACCGGAAGGCGTTCAGTGTGACTGCCCCGTACTAGATGGACGGACGACTCGGTAAGAGCGGCGGGTAACTGATGGATGCACGTCGCGTTCGATCGGCTAGTCTGGAAATCTTTTAGGGAGGCCTATGTACAGCAGTGGACGGCTTCCGGCTGATACGATGATGATGACGATTTTTTAGTTATCATCACATTATTATATTGTTAAGACCTGAATGTGGAAAACGTAAACAAGTGATCAACGGCCTGCAAAAACAATAAATACATGGGGGGATTTTTGTGCATTTTTATGAGATACACTCTGGTCAATTTCCGCGGGAAGTAAAAAATGTTCGAAATTCAAATAAACAAGATGACCGCCATACAAATTTCAAAGCCTCCTATCACGGAAACTATTAGAGATAGGTGCTCGAAGGAATGTCATAGAGGGTAACACTGGTCAACTGCCTGGGTTAAAAAAATTTCAAAATGGCGGCCGAAGAAAAACTTAATTCGATCCGGCTGAAAATTGGCATGCGAATCTGCGAGTCTTTAGGAGTCCTTAATCATAATTTGGGGTCAAAAATTTCTTTTCGCCATTTTTTAATATGGGGTCTTTAGGAGTACTTGATAATAATTTGTGATCAACATTAATTTATTGTCATTGTTCAATATGGCTGCCATAGAAGTATTTTTTGGCGGTAGATGAAAATTTGCTCTAATTCACTTGAAAAACGGCATGTGGGGGATCTATGGGTGTTTAATAATAACTTCCGGTCAAAATTTATTTTTCGTCATTTTTCATTTATTTTTACAAACTTTTTTAGAGGTTGATAAAATTTTGCTCTAATTCTACTGAAAATCGCCATGGGGGGTTCTCTGTGGGTGTTTAATAATAATGTGCAGTCAAAATTTACTTTTTGGCATTTATGGGCGAAGCCCGAAGCGTCTGCACGCCACCTTCTGTAGGTAGTATACGGGGACTAGATTTCACAATTGTTCAAAATGTCAGGCATACTTCCCGATGTAGTGGAAATAACGTCTTATTTACTTATACAACTTATAGCGTTGTTGTATCTCGACCGTCTCTCTGTTAGAATCTTTTTTATTGGAAGCTATGCCAAAAAGAGAAATATTTGGGGAAAAAATGCCAGACAATCACTTCAAATTTCTACTATACAATTAGGGAATTTCCTATACTATGAGTACCAAATTATAAATTGGCTTTTTTTTATTTTGATTTCATAAATTAAAAATCACTGTGCCACCGAAGAGCATCTGAAAGCGACCACGCGCCGCAAGCCGAACCCGACCCCACCGTAGGTTGGGTATAGGGCTCGTTGTAACTATTATCGCGTTTAGATTACTGACTGACTTATTAAATCCATGTTTGCGAGCCCATGTAATATTATTGTTTATCCCTAATAAAGGGTACATATGAGTCCTTTGTTAGAATTATTTCAATTTTAAGACATGTACCATATAAATGCAATAAATGTAGGTATTGAGTATTGAAAAAGAAACATTTTACACCTGGTTTAGTCCCTTCGAAGTGCAAGTGAGTGAATGTAAAAATACACCTTCAATATTTGTATGCATAATGTTTGGTCGGACCACAGAACAATAAATACAGTAGAAGTGCTTAGTTTGCGTGACACGTGTGCCAAGAGTACGTGAAGTTCCACATACTTAAGCTGAGTCCGCCATATTCGACGTGATGACCGTGTCAATTATCTCGCGTAAAACTTCCAAAAAGTCCAAAAATGCCTTATTTTGTTACTTTGGAGTGCAAAAATGATAATCGCACTTTTAATATTATCTATGGTATAGTTTCATACCATCGTTAAGTCCTATTTAATTTAATGTTAATACATTTTCAATTTTCTGTTTATCGTAGTTTTTGTTAGCTACAAGAAGTTAAAGTAAAACTTATACCGCTACAAAATGATCGCTTCTTTTTTTAAGAACTATGAAAACACTTTGAATTCGTCGTCGTTTTGTTATTGACCCTAGATGTCAGCACATTGATTGATTTTTCAATATGAAATCAAAAACTCGTAACTCGTAACAAGGTATTTAATTTTCAACGATATGCCAACAGGATAAAGTTTAAATTATATTAACAGTCAAGATTTTTTTAAATTAAAGAAACTACGGCCAATCGTTATCAAGATTTAGTAGCATTTCAAAATATGAATGTGTCAGTTTTGGCATATGGCATTTCCATTGTTTTTTTTCTTCCATGGACCGCATACAATGATACATACATATTTTGTACATCTCAGCTTATAAACAACCTGTGTGTTCATAAATAAATGAATTATGAATTATACTTATTTAAAAAAAGTGGTTCAGTTATAAGACTTTCGTAATAGCCTACCATATTCGATGAATATAAGGTCACCTATGAGACGACATCAAAAAAAGACCAATCTACCACGTACATAGATATCGTTGACATTAAACTTAATTTTATTTTTTTGAGTTTGAACTCCGAGCGTTCTAATAATATAAATGAAAATATTTATTGACGCTTGAAAGCCAAAATGGGATCAGAAACATTAGCAGATTCCAACGGCATATATAATTCAATATGACCAAAAGTGGCGCTTATCCCATTTCGCCTTTCAAGCTTCGACATGAATGAATAACATTGTAGTAAAAACATCATCATATTCAAAAAACTTTGCCATGTTCTTGATCCAACACAAAGAAAGGTAGAAAATGATATAATAGATACCGATACAGATGATATATACATGTATACAGAGGCCGTTACACTAACAAGAAAATTTGTATTAAATTAGGGACGAGAAGTTTCCTGTAGATAACTTCTTTTTCTTGGGGTACCTCTCCTGTCGGAGGTTGGACAAGATCATGTCAATTCTGATTATGAAGGCTAAAGAGAAAGGTGTTATTGCAGACAACTACTTCTTCAAAAATGTCGTTAAACTTTTGTTGCATAATGACGGTTCTTAAATCCGAGTACCTAGGTATGAGATTTTAAGACCTAATTATGTAATGATTGCATATAATTTATCTACACACGTATCATATAATATCATAAACCCTCTATGATGTGTTCAAAAACCGCAAATTACGGTCAACATAAAGATAAACTGTTTTGTTAAAACAAATTTCTTATCTGTGCAAATGTTATTATTGCATAATATTAACATTAAATTCGATTTTATTATTATATTCAAAGTTCGAACATCTTTAAAAACAATAAACAGTAACATAAACTTTTATTATAAACTCCAGATTTACCTGACTTTGTGTCCTGAAAATAAGTCGCGGAGACGCTTCTCCGACTCCATGTTCGTTTACAGCTTCAACGTAGATTTCGTAATCCGTATTTGATTCCAGATCTTCCAGAATGTACGGGGAGTGCAGCTGTGTGAAAAAAAAATACAAATTTTAAAATTTAGTAGCAGTAGAGTTTAAATTTTTATTGAATTGATGTTTAATTATTTTTATGTGAAATTACTCCACTAGTTTGTTATAATTATTAACACAAAGATCGAACACTCAGAAAAAATGCCTTCGATCCGGCCGCATTCGAATCGACGTCTAGCATACCGTGCCAGACGCTATACCAACTAAGCCACGGAGCGAACCAGCGGACCTCACGAATTTTTCTATGTGCTTGAGTCGTATGTTTGTATTTGGTTTTTCAACGACTTAGCCGTAACACCATGTATGAGAAATCTGTGATATTTCGTCACCCAGTTAGATACCTTTACAGCTACCAGCCTCGGCTAGAGATGTCAGTAGAAGGTCTTCGATTTCTATTTTAGAATCTGCGTGATCTTTGCCTATTCCACAGTTGTTTGTTTTACCATTGAGAAAGATCATACAGGATGTATTGTTTCAATCGTACATACAACAGCATATTTTTCCAACCAGACATTTGTCTTTGTACCATTATGTATTTAAAAATATTAATAAACTCTAATTAGAACAAAAACATCAAGTCAAAATTTTATTTCATATTTTTATTTTTATATATATCTAATTATAAACTTTATGATGAACTAGTTGGATGTCCGATTTATAGTTTTTAACCATTTTTAAATATGGCCTTCATGCAAGTGGTTTCGGTGGCAGTTCAAGCTCTAATCCGACTGATTACGTCATGTGGGGAACTCTATGGGTACTAATAATTTGCGGTCAAAATTTATTTTCGCCATTATTCTTATATCTATTTTTGTTCTATTTGAAATAAAACAAAACCAAATATAGAACCCTCGCCATTAGTAGCTGAATATATAAATTGAACTCCTTAAGAGGGAGCAGAGGAAAAATTCCTAATCTTCGATTTGATTTTAGAGGGGTATATCCACTTTAAAGTTAAAAATGAAATATTGTATGAGTAACTACATGATATATTCAAGCATAAACATTAAACAGAAACATAAAACAATAAAGTTTCCTCGATAGATAAAAATCACGAAATGACCTCTAATTTGCACATTTTTTCGATTTATCTTCGAAATGCTACAGGTTATTAGGACAAAAATTAGATAATTAATTATATTTATGCGTGATCGACAACTGTCACTACGGATTTTTTTTTAATCCCTTTAGTTTTAGAGTTATTCCGCTAAAACGAATTTGGTAGTTTTAATGCGCAAAATTCAACATCTCCTGTCGCATGTCACGCGAACTTCAGGCATATGTTTCACAAATTTGGGCGGAGCCAATGTCAAAACTTTTTTAGCATGCTCCCTCTTAAAAAATCTGCAATGAGTTTGTGGTTACCTTTTCTAAAACCTTATAGTCATCGCCAGCCTGCAAAGTCTTGTAATGCAAGTGGTAATATTGAACAGTATCAGCGAGAGCGGCTGGCGGGGCCCAGTGCACCACTGCATAATCCGTATCGATGTTGGTCAGATGCAGACGCGTTGGGGGACCAGGGAGTACCCCGTAGCCTTGGAGAAGGCAATTGGTGTACGATGACATGTAGCGGAGACATCTAAGAGAAATAAGGAAAGAATATTTAACGTGATATTGAGTACAGTTCATACGCTAGTAGTGGTAGATAAGCACAATACTTACTTGAAATGATTGAAATCCAAAGTTGTAATGTTTCCATTGCAGAGCGGAAGACAAGATTGGGGCAATCCTCTTGACCGACAACACGGCGTGTGGTCAATTCCATTGGCGAGACATCCGAACGTCACACCAGCCCAGGGAGCGCATATCATCAGATCTGTGACCTGCAGCTGGGAGTTAGAAAAGGGTTTCTTGGATGATCGTGCGTTAGTCACAAATGAAGGTGAATGTGAAAGAACTGATCAACTAAATTGTGATATATGTCATAGTAACACAGACATTTATAAGCTTTTGCGACTGTTCCTTCTTTTATTAACCCATGACTATGAAATGGTACAACGAATGTTATATTATCAATCTCGAGAATGGACAACATGAATGATATACATTTGTTTAGTGCAAACGTTGATGATAACGGTGTTTATGAAGATACAAACGAATGAAAGAAATAACACATTTAAGCCAATCGATTGCAACCCTTAGCATGCTTCTTATTTTCTTGAATAACAGCACATTTTTATATTGGTCATCATTGTATGGTAAGGAAAATGCTATAAACAGAATACAAAAAATCTCTCGTAGTACAATCGTAAAACTTACGCCAATTTCAAATGTCTTTGTTGGATCACATAGTTTGTCAATGCAACCATAATGGTTAACTCCAGCGGAGACGCAACATGCCCTGACGTCTGGTAGTTTAGGAGCTGCCGCTACTTTTGTCGTCTTCATTTTGCCAGGAGTGAGGGTTAGTGACCTGTGAACACGAATAATTAACCTACTACCAATTTTCACAACTTTATTCGAATCTTCCAGGTAGGTCTATGAAATTCATGTACACGCTTTAATTAGCGTGGACTTTTAACAATTTAATTTAGATAGGTAAAGTGAAATGTAATGGAAAATTACGGTGTAGAACTTTCGAAAATAGAAATTTCTCCTAATTCTCTTAGGCGTCATAATAACAGTCAATTTTAAAGCGAGTTCGAAGTTGAATTTGTTGAAAACTCTTGATGAGTTAATGAGACAAGTTTGCAAAGAGGTTGCCTAGGTTTTCCTCAAATTTATTATTAAGTCCTGGGTATCTTGTGTTTAACGAAGAACTCAAAGAACTTTTACAATTTTATTGTTTTCCAGTCAGACAGAGTTCTCCAGCTCTGAATAATGTACAAAATGTAGCAATTAAGTACCCAGCGAAACCTTTTTCACAAAATATAACTTTTGGCTACAATAAAACTGATGCTTCTATTTCGACAACACAAAAAATAAGTATTATTGAAGGTTCAATAAGTAATATGGAAGGAACAATTTAAAGAAATCAATCTTACCTGATTGCGTAACTAGGTAAACTTGATCCATGAATATTATATGACGTCACACTGATCTCGTACATTGTGAATGGCAATAAATCGTTGATGACCAAGAAAGTCTTGTTCGCTTGCACCTTGAATGTCATTGGTTGGCTCATTTTCACTGTGTTGTCCTTTAATGTGCTTTCTGAAGGCTCGGTGAGGTGTGCGTCAAAGGATCGCAGCGATGTTATGTTTACTACGTATTCCGTCACTGAGTCTGTGTTTTCTACTGGAGGACTCCAGGAAACGTTTAGTTGCTTCTCGTTCAACGGTTCTACTTCCACGTCTTCTGGTGGACTTGGAAGTAATTCTGTAGACGTGAGAAATTAATTAGTTGTACGAACTGAAAGGTATCTGGGGTATTTTAGTAACTTTAATAATAAACTTAGAACCATTGTGCAAATTCTTTAGGTACGTTTGATAGCCTACAGTTATTTTTTGTTTGTTATTTAAACTTAAATATTTTAACGATCGCAAACCCAAACAAATGGCGATAAGCCGAACATACCGATGCCCTCAACGATGCAAGCCAAAGTCTTCTCCATATAAGCGGCACATGAGTAGTGTGTCTTTATATTATCGGTGACCGGAGTGAATTCGCCACGACAGACGTCCTGGCAGATGTCAGGGACGCGTTCTTGAACGCAGCACGGAACGTGGTTGCGACCGTCCGCCATACACCTGGGAAGTAAGTTGCAGTGTTGTGAATCAAAGCTTTAGTACTTGTAAAGGAGACAAAGTAAGCTTTAAAAACATGGATATTTTCATAGATGAAAGATTGTTTAGGAAAGTTTAAAGAAAGGTAATTAACGTTGAAGCTGGACAGTAGACAGCGTTTGAGTGTTGGCAATAGCTATCTTTGATTATCATGAATGCTTACTTGACAATAGCAGGAAAATCTGGCTGGCAAGTTTCCGGATCCTGCCCAGTGCCTTCCAATATGGTCTGGATACTGCAGAAGCCAAGACAGTTCTTGGTCACATTAGCAGCAATGCAACAGTCTGTGTAATTATGTGCCAGTGCCAAGGAAGACAAGGTTGGAACGTTGGCGGAGTAAGAATCAGTTACGTTGTGGTTTTCTGGTGGGGTAAGGTTTCTTGATATCACTGGAACATAAATAATATAGTTAGGGAAATTTTAATGAATTAACCAAATGATAACAAACTAATTTTGGTTTGTAGTCTTGACATTTAAATACTTTTTTGTTTTAGCTCAAAAAAACAAAGGTTAGGTGGTATGCAGTACTTTGCTTTACAGGCTACTTACCAGTAAGTCTATGGAAGCTTCTGACAGGAGGTTCAGTGTTGAGCTCGCACATGTATATACCGGCATCAGAGGCTTTTACCGATTTGATGACCAGTGCCCACACGTCTCCACCCTTCGCAATGCCCGGTCCTTGAAGGGGCTCTTCTGCTGTGAAACATAGTTGGTTAAATATGCTTTTATTTCTAAGTGTAAGGTAAACTCTTTGTAGCGCTTACTTATCAAATTGCAGTCAATAATTGTCAACAAAATTAATAGTTTATTTAATCTTCACCTCTACCATTTTTTCTCATTATTTTCTTGTGCTATTTCCAATGTCTTTATAACCTAATAATCCTATAACTTTATATACTAATAATCCTATAATCTAAAAAGTCCTCAACTAACTCTAAACTTTGAAGTACTCACTATCATCGTGTAAAACATGGACTCTGTCATCTCTGGTAACTCTGACGCCCCCTGCAGTCAAAAGCTGAAGATCTCTTGCTCGTCTCCATAGAACTGGTTTTCCTCTACCTCCTAAGACTACACAGGTGAGAAGGGCGTCTTCTCCACTCCTGACTGCGACACCCCCTGTTGGTGCTCGCATCCAGGCTTCTTTGGGTTCTTCATCTTCTTGAGAACTACCAGTTGAGGTGCTTGCGCTCTCCACTGAATCGCCTTTAAGCTCTGGGGAGGAAGATATTACAAAATTAGACATGAATGCGTAACAGAGGGGATTTGTAAAGCACAGAGAAAGTATCGGTTTGTCGTACTTTTGAAATGTTATACGGGTGACAGAGAGTAACCAAACTATGTTCACCATAAAAATGATGTATACAATTTGTTGTCTATATCTAATTTTCTGTCTATATAAATGTATTTAAAGACGAACAAAAAAGATAGAAAGTTTCATTGCATATAGTAGCACAAGGGCTCCCTGAGAAAAAAATTATCCAGGGAAGTACTACCACTATTTCTGCCAAGGGTGCTGGTGAAACGGAGAAATGAGAAATGAGATCCTCAGTGCGACGGGCGCAGTGGCAGTGCACCTCAGACCTTGCGATTTAAAACTTCGATTCGCACAGCAACCTGTAAATCCCCTTACACGACACCATAAAAAAAGTTTGCGTAAAGCTTCAATCAGTTTAGACTTAAAAGTAACTTACGAAGTAGACGTTCTGAGAATGTAAGTAACCTAAGTTGGAAAGACAGGCATTTAAATAGCAATTCTTACCCTGTGCCGACCTCAACTCTGATAAATAGGTCATCAGTATACGCCGTGCGATCTCTCCAAGAATATAAATGTAAAATAACGTAGTTTGAGATGCGGTATTACTTATAGCGAGTGCCCGCTTAAATTTCAAATAATACTTCCAAATTTTTTTTTTCGTGATGTTTGATGACCATGACGTGCAATTATTTTTGATTATCTGCGGCAAAAAAGCACACACAAAAATTTGTAAGGTCCGCTAGTTCGTAAAGTGGTTTTGTTGGCGTAGAGTCTGGTACAATTTGCTGGAAGACGCTGGTTCCTAACCAGCCGGATCATACGATTTTTTTCTTACTGTTCGATCTTTGTGTTAATAATTATAAACTACAAATTAGTTTATTTCAAGAAAACTTACTTTAGGCAACAGATAGGGGTACAGAAGTCAAATAAAGCGGTGTTACTTTGTTACTTTATAGGTTTTTGTCATTGACACTACAAAAAGAAGAACTTTATGTCAGACCACGCTAGTTGGAATATCTTGTCGCCCGCGCCTTTTAGTTGTGCGTCCGTATTGCGTTTTTTTTATAATAATGCAAACACTCAACATAGCCCCGCACTAGAGAAAATCTGAGTCGCGGGTGCCATGAACCTCACATAGACAACCACAAATTACATCCAATGTCACGAGAGAAATAAATGTAGGCCATGCACATATTTCTCCCGGCCTGCGATTCGAACCCAGGACCTCTGCGTGGCAGTCCGGCATGGTAACCGTTCGGCCACGGAGGCAGTTGTTGAGGCGTTGCTTTTGGCGGGAATGAATCAGCGATATTATCACGCTCTTGATCATATCTACCGAGCTGCCGTGGAACGGATTTAAAAACTAAAAATTATTTAAATCAAATTTGCTCTTAAAAAACATATAAAGCCTGTCCACCCTACTACTATATAAGATTTTTTTTTTAATTTTGACCTCTCAACATTTTTTGTTCCATTTCTAATTTTTTTTATTCATACAATAATACATTTACAGGCGTCCCGCTTTGAGGTACAAAAATGTGGTCTAGTTACACATACTATGCTGCAGTTAATAATGCTATCTGTCATTTACGTATCATAACAAAGCAACGAAATAAAATGCAAAAAAAACGTACGTGACACTAGCTGTATAATATGCCGTTAGACTAGTGCCAAATACGACAAAAGTCTGTTTGATATGAACTAACATTGAAAGAAAAAAGTTTTATTTAAAAGATAGGAAAAAGAAATTGAAGATTTAGCTTGATGGATTTATTCTGATGCCGTGAAACTAATATTAAATAAAACTATATACTTTTTTTAATATATTAGTCAGTTCCTTTATTATTGGTAAAGGGTTGCAATTAAGCCATAAGTTATTATTCAAGTAGATATTCCAGAGGAAAAAAGAGAAATTACATGATCGCACGCCATTTGAAATGGCCTGTAGATGGCTCCATATGAATAAACAACAAAATAACGCCATCTAACACATGCGGTGTGAACAATGTCAGTAAGAGCTATTCACGAAGACTATTGTCAATACGATATGGCATGCACTGTTAGTAGTACATATATGATCCACCAGATGCCGTCATTAACAATATACAAGTAAATTTTAAGGCGAAATAGCATCGTGATTGCGTAACTTTTGAAGCGATATTGGTGTATTTTTTATCGAACAAATTATTCTATTGTATTTCGGACTCCATAGTTCACTACCTGTATCTTCAGTTTTCATTATCAATTAACATATCCAAGTTGAATTCGTATTTTTCAAGGTCGAAAAACCAATTTTCCTTGTAGTAAAAATACGGCAAAACATCTATTTTGGGTCTATCTTCCATTAACGCTAGTCACTTCTTGCTCCACTGTGACCACGGCCATATTATTCGCCCTAATACGAATGCAGCTCGCTCACTCCCGCCCGGCGGGATAAAGAAATCAACGCAAATGGAGCTACGCAATCCAGCTTATTGGCCACATATTCGCATGTATGAATCAATCTATATGATAAGAGCTGAATTTTAACCTACTTTATGCCTCAGGCTTAAAGAGGGTAGGTTTAATAAAAAATACATAAAAAGTCTGGAAGTGGGATTTGTACAAATTACCTACTTGTATAGAAGGTCTCCGGGGAGGGTATAAGTCATATAAAAAAATCGGCTTGGTGTTCCGTAAATTGTTCCTAAGAATACGTATAATTTTAATATTTTTTTATTGAATGTCACGATTTTTAACGACTTATTTTCCGTAGCGCCATCTGTGAAAAATCTATTCCTTCGCTCAGTCAGGTATTTTTACAGATACCAGCGACAGACGAGAGATATCGCATAATAAGTGTATTTTTTTAAGTTTTTTATTGTATGTCACGATGTTTCGCCACGGTATTTAATTATTTTTGTGAAATCACTCCACTAAGTTTGTTATAATCATTATAGTTTGTTATAATCATTATTAATATGAAGATCGAATAGTTAAAAAATTCTTCGATCCGCCTGGATTGAAAACTGTCTTTGGAACCATTCTTATTAGTCTTATTTTTTTTTAATAGTGAGTTCATTAATTTTATTAAATTTGACCAACTTCTGCGGTCCCGACTTTTTTCGTCTTATAAATGAAATCATTTTTATAAGAAGCTGAGTATATCAGCATTAAAAAAACATTGTCAATTTGATTCATTTTGTGTGAAAAACATTTTATGAAATTTGACCTTTGTCCCGATTTTTTTCGTTTCGTACAATGAGATCATCCTTACGCAAAACTAAATCTTCTTCTTATAGTAGTCAATGCTTCTCTTATTTTAGAACTATATTGACCCTGAATAGTACGTTGCTACCTTGAGTGCGTTGTCCGTGCGTAGAGATCTTCTCTCATGCAGGTATTAGGACACAAGGGGCACAACAGTAAGTGATGCATGGACTGTGCTGGGGCCCCGCAGTCACGTTGGATTTGACTAGTATCCCTGAAAACCCATTTACATATCGTGTCTCTGCAGCGTGCTACCGCAGATCGCAACCCGGTGGTAGTGACAGTTGGATGGTCACTCGTAATCTTAAAACTAAGTCGATCAGCACTAAAAAAACTTTGATCATTTTTATGGACAACTCACGCTTGACCAAAAACTTGACTATGCCGATAATGTTTTCACAAAAAAGCCATAATGATAACTAAAACAGTTTCCATGTATCTTCTATGGTTTCGGATATCCCCATACCATCCCATTTATAAAAACACTCTGTAGATACATAGTTTGCAGAATCTCTATATTCAAACCTTTATTCGTACAGTTTGTACATTTGAAATGAAAAGCGAGTTAAGTAACTACACAGTTGAGTCTACAAATAAAAGTGTACGACTACGAGTCTTATTAGGGACAAAAAAAAACAAGTACATACAGCACAGGTGTTGAGAATGAAGTGGAATCATACAAAGCCCGGGCTTGCTAGAATACACTTTCCTCGTATATCATACTCTACATACACACTGCTAACGTCGGCGGCGAACTTGATAGAGGTGTTCGGCGCTTATCTTGGCAAGTGATGGTAGTGGTAGATCGCCAAATGTTGATTTGACCCTGCAACGTTTTGCAATGTCGACACTGGACTAGGAGTTCTCAGGTCCGATTCAAAATTCAAAGTTTTGAAAAAGAAATTAAAAAATAAATTACTAAATGATGAAATGTTGTAATATACATATACCTATACCAGGGAAGTATTGCCACCTTACCTATTTCTGCCGCCAAGCAGTAATGTCAGCACTGCTGTGTTCCGGTTATGAAGCACAAGAGTGCTTATCGTGTTCTTAGTTGTTTGCGATTGTTAGACACAGGAAATGAAACTTCAATTTCAATTTCAATCTTTATTGCTTTTCCATAATGTGTACAAGATGTTATAAAAATACAAAGATCATTTATGGACCCTGTCGGGCACAGCAAAATGAGAGGGAGGCATTTTTAATAATTTAGAAATTATTATTGAAACTACTTATATTATTTTATAATCTATATGGATATGATGTATTTCAGTGTTATTTATTTTTAAATGACATTGAAATTATTTATTTGATTTTTCAAGAATTTAGAAATCGAAATAATATACATATTATCTTATAATCGATACGAATGTGTATTTTGATGTTTTTTATTTTTAAATATACCCTTTTCATTTATTTGCATTTTTAATATTTAAGAAATAATTATGGAAGTAATATATTATGTTACAATATATTTGAACATGTATTTAAGCATTATTTATTTTAAAATATAAACGATTTACTTAATTTGTATTTTTAATAGTTTAAAAATACTTATTGAAGCAATTTATTATTTTATATTGTCTATGAACATGTATTTGGGTTTTTCCTTTTAATATAATTAATTTTTTATTTGTATTTTTTTAGTATATATTATGTTAAATTTAACTATAATAGTTTAAATATTGTCATTGAGGTATTCTTG